AGGGATGAGTTAGGAGATCAAACGAGAAGTATTGGCGTGTGATACTTGCCAGAGGTGTAAGAGTGAACATGTGGCATATCCAGGCCTTTAACAACCACTGCCTGAGCCACAGTATGCATGGAGTCATATCTCCATGGATTTCATCGAAGGCCTACCCACATCCAATGCTAAAAATGTGATTTTGGTGGTAGTGGACAGATTTACCAAGTATGCACACTTCCTGACCTTGGCCCATCCATTTACAGCCTCATCTATTGCTCAACTATTCCTAGACCACATCTACAAGTTGCATGGTATGCCACAGAGTATTGTGACTGACAGAGACAGGATATTTACCAGTATATTTTGGCAGGAATTATTCAAATATTTGGGGGTCAAACTGTAGTTAAGCACAGCATACCACCCCCAAACCGACGGGCAAATAGAGAGACTAAACCAATGTTTAGAAATGTACCTTAGATGCATGGTTTACAAGCAACCCAAGCAATGGGGAAAGTGGATCAGCTTGGCTGAATGGTGGTATAATACCACACTTTACACAGCAATTAAAATGACTCCATTTGAAGCATTATACGGCCTTAAACCTCCCCATTTAGCTCTGGGTCCATACCAGCAAAGCAACATAGCAGCAGTGGAAGAGGTGCTCGAAGAAAGACACAGAATAGATCAGTTACTAAAGGAAAATTTGGCTCAAGCTAGAGCTCGAATGAAACATTATGCAGATAAAAACAGGAGTGAACGAGAATTCCAAGTGGGAGATTGGGTTTATTTAAAATTACACCCATATGCTCAGCAGAGTCACCAATCTTCTCGATTGGTGTTACTCACGTCAAGATATTATGGGCCCTATCAAATAATTCAGAAAATCGGATCAGTCGCTTACAAGCTACAACTCCCTGCTACTGCCTAGATATACCCAGTTTTTCATGTATCACTACTCAAGAAGAAGATTGGAGAGAAGGATGTACCTATTCGAGCACTCCCACATCAGGACCAAAATCATAAGGAGCATTCCCAGCCTCTACGAGTATTATCTGCACGACTGGTTAATCAGAAAGGGATAGCTATAACACAGTGGCTAGTTCAGTGGGAAGGTTCCAATTCTGATGATGCCACCTGGGAAAGCTCAGACTACATACAGGCGTCTTTCCCTTCTTTTCAACCTTGGGGACAAGTTGAAGCTAAGGGGGAGGGAT